AAAAAACTGATTGGACCTCGCTAAAGAGATGATGCTCAGGCGACGTCGGAAGGTATCCTGTCCCTGTTCGGTGTGCGAGATTCGGTTAAGTTTGCAGCTTCGTCCACTGCATCAAAGTATTCCCTGGCGACCGAACCGACTGTCTGCTTACTAGACCTCTATTTGGGTACAGGTCTACTTTGATCCACGTTTTATTAATAAAGCTCGCGAGATCCCTTGACCATAGCCACGTGCATCTAGGTATGATGACTGGGCCTAGCAAGGGCTTCACAGTGAGCCTTCTGTGCTCTTCTGTTTTCTGTTCTTCGTGACACAACGTGCATTGGTCAGAGTCAACCTCTCCTAGGTTTGACAAGTGATCATTTACCCTGCAGTGGCCAGTTAGAAAGCTTGCAACAATTCTTACTTGGAATAAAGAATTTACCCGCTCTGCTGTCTTCTGCGCTTGCCCAGTAATGTTGCGCTTCCGTTTTCATCCAGACGGAGCTCCATGATAGACTGCTAAAATGCTCTGGCTCCCCTGTGACCCCATAACCAAATGAGGTAAACCCGGTTGCTGAATGTGATGAGATAAACACGCGTGCTGTCAATGCGAGTAGCCCCGCTGTGCTATCGAGTGTGCTGGTCGCCAATAATATTATATGTATACTGTCTGAGACATATTTCACCCGACATCCACCTCGGACTGAAAGGTAGTTAGTAGATACTAATTCGAGGCATGCAAGTGGAAATAAGCACTTTGGGTTGTATGCCCTGGACTCCTGCTTCGACGCAATGGTCACACTTGGAGCCTTCATCAAGTGTGGCTATCCTGCCGTGGTTTGGGTCTTCCACTGTCCTAGTTGATTCTGTTATGCAAAAAGACCTTGCAAGTTATGTGTGAAGTTGAATGAAGGCAGAGGAACACAAACCTAACGCGCAGCTCTTCCTCTTGCTCTACAACAGTGATGCGCAGAGAGAGCTTACACTCTATACGCGCCTATACAAAATGTATGGAAAGTTTAAGCAAGGCGGTGCCTATCAGTGCTCTATAACCCTGGGAGTGTAAGGGCGTATCAGCTTTTTATTCTCTGAATTGGCGCCAGAGATAAGCTTGCTGTTAACAGCTCAACTTTTTGTTTTGATTGCGCACGATGTGTGCACGAGGGCATTTAAGGAGAGCCTTGCGAGCCCACTCATCGATTGCAGTGATCGGCGGTGAGCGCATGCTTAACGGTAGGTTAAGTGTTCTCTGCCCGTTTTCACAGAATTGCGGCAATGTTAAAACTCCCGCGCCAAGTCCACGATCAACGATTTGATTAGATCTTATCAATGTGGCCTTAGACTAGGCAAATCCATCATAGAACAGATATTTCCCATTAGCCAAATATTGGAAGAAACCAGCGAGAATAGTTAGGATCGAAGTACACCATCTATTTGTTGATTTCCAACCCGAATTAGTATGGGACTGTGAGAGACTACCTTTCTGATAGAAAAAGAATTATCGAAGTCGGTTGACGTGGTCCAAAGTTATGCGGTAACATACATAAAAAAAAAAAAAAAAATATTCCGATTGATAACCTCCTCTTTTTGAAGTCGGTTAAAAATAACTACAAGGCACGATCGATTAAATAATGAGAACCGTAAAACAACAATTTCGCGATGATCTAAAAGTAAAAATCTTTTCCGTAATGATGTTGACGAAATAGTTGAACATCCATTTTTGGAAGTTTTAGTACGGAATTTTTTTTTTGATAATTTAAAAAGTGCCAATGCATACATTTTTAACGCTTATATACTAGACATACATTTTGGATGGTTTAAAAACCATACACATGTACCGTTTTGGTCATTTAAAATGTGGATATGAGTTTTGGTTTATTTAAAAACTGGACATATATTTTGGATAACTTAACAATTTGACATAAATTTTATGCATAGGGCTTACGTTTGAATTTAAGTGTGCTCTGCCCAATCCACAAGAAAGGCGACCCCGCCA